TGTGTGTGTGTGTGTGTGTGTGTGTGTGTGTGTGTGCGCGCGCTCATCAATGCTTTGTGTGGGAGAACAGATCAACTGTCAGCTGTGGGGGCACAAACGCCTCAGTTCAGGTTAAATAATTTCTGGAACTGTCACAAACTCCAGATCTTACCAAGTCTATTTGTCTCATTTCTAGTCAAAAAAATCTGCCAATGAAACAAGTGATCCAAGCGGCAGCGTGGAAAAAACACGAGTGGACATATCTGAGTGAAACGTTACTCTGTAGCTGAGAAATGAGACAAATTTACTTGGTAAGATTTTGAGTTTTTGCTGTTTGTTTTGTGTGAGATACAAAGTTTCAGTTTATACATAGTTGTGTATTTATTTTTGCAACATGTAACATTTTGACTGCGAGCCTGTCATTTGTTCAGTCTCTCCTCCTGTGATGCTCCGAGCTGAGCACTGAGTCTAAGTGCAGCCGGCTCAGCTGATCACGTTTTTAAAAAATTGTATTCACCTATCAAATGTTTGCGCTTTGTGTATTTCCCGTGGTTTTGTCAGCACATTTATATTTTCCAAATGGTGTTGGAGGTGAATAGTGCGATTTCCAAGTGTTGTGTTGGTCAGCACACTTTACATCACTGCAAATTGTGACTGTGTTTTTTAAATTGTTCTTATTTAAATTGACGGCGCTGTTCTTGCCCTGATGTAGAAAATGCTGGTGTATTTCTCTATCATTTTCAGTATATATTTAGTGTCTTCTGCAAACTGTTTCTGTGGGTTTGAACGATCCTTTGCTGCACAACACGAGTTTGTAATGACGGCTCGGCTGCTGTAGTCTTCCTCATGGCGATGGTGAAGGCAGGCGAGAGGTTCGTGGATCAAACAAACACATGCTCTTTTAGAAGAACACACTAACAGACAATAACTGAAGGACCTTGAAAAATTAGTGGTCAATTATTGTCTGCATGCCCCTCCCACCAGCACCAAAGCTGGAATGACTGGCAGTCGCCTGTTTGTCGCCTCTGTGCTGGTGACTAAGCAGGACCTGGACAGGAGCCGGATGCAGGCCCCTGTGGAGCCATGACACATCTGATTCTCCATGTCTCTGTCAGTGTGCACGTTACACACCGGCTGTTCTAACGGCAGCCGAGGTGATACGCTGACGTGTGTCGCGGGCTCTGATTTCTTGCCCTTTGTTTCTGCTTTCACACCAAACCTTTTTGGTTGTGTGACACACATGACTGGGGAAACTGAGTAGTGAGTGTTTGTGTGAGAAAGGAGGTATTAAAGGATCACCGGTCAAACTATAATGTTTTACTGCTTTTCCCGCTATTGCTGACCTCACGCTTCAACGACTAACGTGTTCTTCCTCCGTGTGCTTCTTTGTCATACAGAAACTGTTTGTGATCATCACCTTCAGTAAGCACATAGTGGAGCAGATGGTCTCCCTAATCGGGTGAGTAACCCTCACCGGGGGTGGGTG